TTTAATGTCTTTTAGAACATGAGTGTGCTTCACAAATTTATTGATCAGTTCTTTCAATTTCAAGGTGGTAGAAATCACAATGATTTTAACAATGGCAACAGTTGCTCCAAATGTGGACCCTCAGAGGGGAGGCAACTTTGAGGGGGGAAGCTCGGAAGCCTGTAATGACGGAGGCTACTACTCTGCAAATTGAAACCAAGATGGTCACGGCCATTCAAACTCAATTTGCAACAGCAGTTGCTAGGGCAGTGGTGGAGAATAAAAGATGCTGGAGAGGTAGAGAGGTAAAGGGAAAACAGCAGACCTGTGACGTCAGTTGAAGCAGGGTGGTAACTATAAAGAAGACATGAGCTAGACAATGCCCTGTATTGGCCAAAATTCCCAAGGACTGTGTTTGTCACTAGTGGAATAGTATATTATTTTGACTTCTATTCTGTGGAAAGGGTTTGGTACTCCAGTAGGGGACTTTAGTAAAGGCTTCCATTTTGTCTCCTGTGCTGTTGAATGTTAAACCTGAGATGCTGATCATGGTACTTGATACATGTGCATGTTCATAAAATATGACATCCTATGAACCAGGGAAGAGGGTCCTCAATAGGTAGCAGGACAAGAAGCTTCTAGATATTGAACTTGGAACCTTTAGGACTTATAGAAGTAGATTTCTATTGGTTTAAAAATCATATAGTTTATGCCACTTTGATATAGCAGTCTGGGAGACTTAATATGATATTTTAAGTGAGTTGTTTCAGGACTACTTTTTAAATGTGTGAGTCTGGAGAGATAGCTCAGTGGACAAAAGTTCTTGCTGTACAAGCATGAGGACCCGAGTTCTGAACCCATCACCATTGTAAAAGACCAGGTGAAGAGGCCTGTGTTGGTGTCATAGTTTGACAAACATGACGTTATAGAGTTTTTTGATCATTATAGAGTTCAGAAATCACACTTCAAAGTTAACTCCCTTCCTAGGTTCAAACTTTGTAGATCATTTGTTGTCATTGCTAAAATTCATTGTAACTTCTATCACCCATAAACTGGCATTCACCCTACTGAATGCCTTGCAGTTAGCCCTGCTGCCACCATGACCCATGAGCTTGCTTTTCCAGGGGCATTCGGGGAGACAAAGACAAATGGATCTCTGGGGTTTGTGGACTGACAGCCTATCTCTATGTCCAGTGAGAGGGCCTGCCTCATAGGACTAAGGTCTAGAGTGATGAAGCAGGATATCTGATATCTTCATCAGGCCTCTTTGTTTGAGTATAGGCATGAATGACTGCATGCATGTGTACTTATTTGCCACACACACACACACACACAAATAAATAACCAAATATTTTCATATGATTCAATAATAAAAAGTCACTTTAATCCACTTTAGGAAAATAAAAGTATTTTTATTTATTCTGACAATGTCACAAATCTACGTTTTCCTTCACTTCATTTTCATTCATCCCATTGCCTTCTCTCATCCTCCCACCACTCCTGCTAACCCCCTCCCATCTAGTTTTCCTCCTTCTTTCAGATCCTTTCTTGCTTATTTGCAGGTCTTACATCGTATTAAATCACAAGGACCTACAAATCTTTAGCTGATGTGCTATATGTCTGACTAAACGTATAGTAGACTATAAGAACGGTGGTGTGAACTGTAAGAGAGAGACTATTTGCTGTGGGAAGTAGTGCTCTGCACTAAAGGATGGAGATGCTGAAACTTGTTTATAATAGGTTCTGTATCTGAAAGCCAGTGTCTTTCCACACTGTGCTACCAAAGACCCTGCTAGTGCAAACTAAAGGAGCTGTTTGTGTATCCCTCTTATTTATAGACACTGAAAGACTTATCCATGGTTCTATATTAGATCTATTAATCGATACACATCATATCAATGTATAAAAGTAATAAATCACATATTAACTTCAAAGATTAATATCTCAAGTTACCTAAAGTCTGTTCATGAGCATATACATCTGTCTTGCATCTCCATTAAGTCTTGTAATGCTAGTCTAGGTCCCAGGGAGGGCTAAACTAAAGCCTAGCACATGCCAGCCCTCAATGACTCACCTCCCAGCCAGTGCCAGTCACAAATTTGTTCTAGTTTGCTCTGGCCAAGCAAGAGAGGATGTTTAAGTGTACCCCATTATGCACATTTCCTGAACTGCTCCTCACCTACTCCATCCCCATGCTGCTAACACAGAAAATAAGCCAAAAGTTTATAGAAATTATGTTTATTCACAAGGAGATTGGTCATCCCAGAATCAATGGGACCTAGTGATCTTTGCTTACCTAGGACACAAGGAGCACACACAAGAGCCAAACGCTCCCTTACTCCCTTCAGATCAGCACACATTCAGAGCCAGAACCTATTACAGGAGCCACCTTGCCTGCAGGACCTCAGTGTCTGGAGCTTGGGCACAGCGCTAGAGGCTGGATGCCTCCTCTGCTCTGCCAAGTCTTGGGGAATGGAGATTTAGAGAGACAATTACTGGCCTTCTCCCGCTCCTCTTCCAAAGGAGGTAATTTGGGAGAGAGACCCGGGAGGTGAGTTTCAACAAAATCTAAGCTAGTCTAAGTTAAATCAGAACACTGAGGCCTTGTCTGTAGCCTTTACTCAGACCCTCCAAAGCGAGTTGGCGTATAATATATGCAGTTTATGTGTGATGCAGTTTATGGTTGTGCAATTACGATTAAAAAGAAGGACACACTTTATCAAGTTAGACCAATGACTAGGGTATTGTTTTCAGTACCTTGTTTTTTTTTCACACACTTGAATTTATTGAAAAATTCAAAATACTTCTGTGAGTTCACTTGTATTTTCCATCCATTTCCTTTCTAGACAAGAGCTAACATTATTGTGACCTATTCATCTCAAGTTATGACCCAACTGTAATGGCAACCTTACTAGCCTGCTATCTTTTTCTCTTCAGGACCCCCATATCTCTTCTTTACTATGTTTCTTCACTCTCTTCTGGACCATAAGAGACTTCCCTGGAGTTTCTGATTTGATAATTTTGTGTGACATGGTACCAGAACTCTTCACAGTGTCTTTAGATTTTGGTTCATTTTGTGTTTGGGAATTCCAGTTACAGAGGGAGGACACAGTATTGAAGTGTCATTCATACCATAGTAAAAGTGTTCCTACCAATCCCATGAACCCCTGCTGTCTTGACCATCAGCCTGAGGTAATATTTATTGGCTATTCCATCAGATTTGGGTTCAAATCAGCTTACTAGGTGGATGCCCATTGTGTCTGTTTTCATTGTTCTGTTAACTCATTTATATTGCTCAAATACTTTGCTAGGTCCAGGATTTACAATGGTTGTATGAGCATAGACTAATAAGGAAGTTTTGAAAATAGTGAAAAAAAAAGTCTTCTCCTTAACACCGTCTGCACTACCATGACCCATCCATAACAGTTTTTGAGGGGGTCAGATATAAAGAGACCTACCTTCATGTTGGTTTACTGATGTGTTTATTGTTGTTAATTTACCAGCTTTTAAAAATGAGCTCTGAAAAAAAAATAAAAAAATAAAAATGAGCTCTGGCTGCTTAAACTGTTCTCCATGGGAGCCTTTCAAAGACCCTTCCCATCTGTTCCAGTTTGAAAGGGAAAAAATTTAAAGAAAAAAATGTAAACTTGATAATCTAGAATGTAAAACTAGATTTGTAGCTTTTTTCATTTATTCAAAATGAAATTCAGCTCAACAGAAGTCAAGCAAAATGAATTTACTTCTACCATTCTTTACAGAAATACAATCTCCTCTTCCTCTTTTAAAACTATTCATGAGAAATACAATGTTGAATGCTGTAATGCGACATGCTACCAATATCTGAGTTGCCACTTGTGAAGAAAAGAGAATGAAGAAATGATCCACAACAATGGGAACTCAACACACACAAAAAAAGACAAAAATGCAGGGAACACCATGTATTAGGAATGTTAGGAGCTTTTTAAGTTGTTTAAAATGCTCATTCGAAGAACAGGAAGATGGTGGTAGAGGACTCTAGAGGGAGGCTCAGAGAAATACTTCATACTAAAGTGAGAACTGAAGGCTATTTATACTTGAAAGCATTAGATTCAGTCTTCATTAAGGAGAGAGGCAGAGAGAGAGAGAGAGAGAGAGAGAGAGAGAGAGAGAGAGAGAGAGAGAG